TGTGTGTGTGTGTGTGTGTGTGTGTGTGTGTGTGTGTGTGTGTGTGTGTGTGTGTGTTCACTCATTCATCAGCTCCCCATTCTTGTCCACACTCATCAGAGAACATCTATATTTGTGAGGACCATTCTGTCAGGCATGTTTCTATGTTGTTTTGTTTGTTTGTCAACAAAAAAGCATATATTAAACATCTTATTGTTCCATATTTTCCTAACAGAGCACTTCGCTCTCAGACTGCAGGTTTACTTGTGGTTCCTGGAGTTTCTAAAAGTAGAATGGGAGGCAGAGCTTTCAGTTATCAAGCTCCTCTCTTGTGGAACCAACTTCCTGTTTCTGTCTGTGAGGCTGACACTCTGTCTACTTTTAAGATTAGACTGAAGACTTTCCTTTTTGATAAATCCTATAGTTAGACTTAGGTTTCCTGAGTTATTCTTCATTTCTGCTGCTATAAACTTAGACTGCTGGAGCACAAACTGAGCACATTTCCTCACTCTGCTGTTGTCTTTAGTCTCTCTTCTCTACATGTTTGTATTTGTAATTATTTCTATCAATAACCTGTTTCTCCTGAACCTGGTTCTGCTGGAGGTTTCTTCCTGCTAAAAGCGAGTTTTTCCTCTCCACTGTCACAATGTGCTGCTCAGGATGGGAGACTGTGGCGAAGTGAAGATTCAACACAGTCTGCTGGCTTCCTCCGATAGATAACTGTTACTAAATTATATTTTATAACGGATTAGAGCCAACGGGACCAAAATAAGACTGAGTACAGTTTGAAGTTACAGAAACATTATTTATAATTTAAAAACAATGAAGCAGGTGAATAAAGCTGCTCCAGTGGTCATCAGTGGCGGGGCCGAACCTCTCCTGATCTATAAAGTTTAATCAGCTAAAAAACAAAGATAACCTGCTTCGAAACAAAACATAAATCCCTAGCAATGACCAAAGAAAGGGACGTTAAAAAGTGGTGACTTTGATTTTGAAATGCAGATGAACTTCCTGTCTGTTACCTGCTTCATCGTCCCCTGGTCCTGCTGCATGTTGCACGTGTTCAGTCCTTGGTTGGCTGCCAGCCCCGCCTGCACAAAACCACTGTTAGGCAGCGCCACTGTGGCTCCTCCCCCCATCATGGTGCCTGATAGGTTTATGTTCTGTGGCGTAAATGGCACCTGAGGCTGCCCCACGAATCCACCTGCTGGACCAAACACAGAAGGGAGGGGGTTGGATGTTATTAAAGGGGTCGGTGTTGTCAGTACCAGCAGCCTGTCAGGTTAGTTTCTAACTAATGAACCATCTCTTAGACATTTTGATATTTTGATTACATCCAGTTGAAGCTGAACTCCGGTCCCTTCAGCTAAACGTCTCATCTTCATCATTTACTCTGTTGTAACGAGCAAAGCAGCCAATAAAACCTACTGCTGCAGGTATGCATTAAATATTAGGCTACTCAGCCTCGACCAAACAACAAGTGTTGTTCATGGTTTATGCGTGCACATGTTCACGATCGCAGTTCAGTCGCCACAAATCGTTCCACTCAGGAATCTAAAGAAGAAGAAGAAACGAAGCTTGAGTGATTCATCACCAAGAATCTGACTTTTTTTTGTTTCCTCGTTGTCCCTGAGGGATAAATTATCCAAAGCCTCTTCACACATTTCTGCCAGAAAACAAGTGTTCGCCTTGCTTTTCTTCTTCATCTCCTGGTTTAACCCGTGGTCCCTTTGTTTTCTCCGTTGAATCATTAGAGTGAGCCATCGTTTTAGATGGAAGAGGCGGGGACAGTTAATGCAGTCGGGGCTTTTGAACTGATAATGATGACAAAATTCAGAGGCAGAGCGGACGTCAAAAGCAGGATCAAGGCCCGCCCCCGCCCGAAATGCTCTCCTTTATTCATCAAAAAAAAATCCAGTAAGACACTTCTGACGATTACAAAGTATAAAGAAAAAAACTATTATTGTATTAAAGTAATCATCAGGTGCTCCAACTTTACTTCTAGAAAAAAAAAACATTGTTTCATAATTGAAGATGTTTGCAGCCGACACTGAACTGGTTGGAAGGTTTGCAATCATGGTTTTCAGCTATAAGCAGTAACTTGCTCAGATGTGCAGTTTTACTGGCAGTAAGGAGCAGTTTGATTGACAGGTGGACTAATAACACGTCAGCATGCAAACATTTGTCTGAACCACCACGGTTAGTGAGCTAAGAGGCTCAGAGTTCAGTCCACTCATCCTGATGTATTTGTGACCTGATGCAGCATTTTCACTGGCTACTTCCGTTGCAGTCCAGTTGTACTGGGAAGTGGGAATATCCGACTTATAAGTTGTAAGTTTAAACTTTCTGTATTATTTATTGCACATTTAGTCAGTCGTACATGTTGTACTGTTCAGTGTTTATAAGAGGACATGTTAAAACCCTGTTTCTATGCAAGAATTACCATGTAGAGCTAGAGCTGTGTGATATGTCTGAAAAATATATCACAAAAGAAGCGTTTCATATCGGTCGATAGATATTTATTGATTCGTTTTTTTAATTAAAGACCAGGAGAAAAAGGGTGATTTTGATGTGACTTCTCTTTTATCCACAACTTCCTCTTGAGCTGTTTTCTCCTTTCTCTTCACGCCATAGTTTTTTTTTTTTTTTAATAATGAGACACAGTGATGAAACATGAAACTGCTTCTTGCGTGTTACTGGCTTACCAAAGAGTGAGTGAGTTTGATGCCACCAGCCTTGCTTAGCTGGGCTTTCAGCCACTGGTTAGCTGTTTTATAGCTGCAGTCATTGTTATTGTGTATTGTCACAATCTCCGGTCCCGGTTTGTTCATAATTTTTATTTCCCTACGCAAATTTCGTAAACTTCCATAAGGTAAATTATCGACACTCTGTTGAATATATTTTCTATTGAAATCAATCATGTGTTTATCATGAGATATGTCATTATCGTTTTATCACCCAGCGCTATGTAGAGCTCAGGAATTGTTTGTTAGCAGTGTTCAGCCATGGCAATAAGATGAGGAACATCATGTTTTGTGTTTAATTCAATTTAAATTCAGAAATACACTATATTGCCAAAAGTATTCACTCACATGCGATCTTAAGGTACATCCCATTCCTAATCCACAGGGTTCAATATGATGTTGGTCCACCGTTTACAGCTAGAACAGCTTCAACTCTTCTATGAAGGCCGTCCACAAGGTTTAGGAGTGTTTATGCGTATTTTTGACCATTCTTCCAGAAGCACAGTGAGGTCACATACTGATGTTGGACAGAAGGCCTGGCTCTCAGTCTCCGCTCTAATCCATCTCAAAGTGTTCTATTGGGTTGAGGTCAGGACTCTGTGCAGGCCAGTCAAGTTCATCCACACCAGACTCTGCCATCCATGTCTTTATGGACCTTACTTTGTGCACTGATGCACAGTCATTTGGATGGGTAAGCAAAAACTTTTAGCAATATAGTGTATCTTATTGATCCCAAAGGGAAATTATGTACGTTTAGTCAAAGTTAAACCCTGATTACAACTGGCCCTGTGAGGGCAGCATGTGGCCATGTGTGAAAACGAGCGTCACATCCCTGTTGTAGATGGAAAGAGCTGAAGAAAAGATGATGTTTGCTCCTCTTTCAGTTACAGTGAAATAGTTAGGAACGAACATAATGAACCAAGTAAAGGTTACATGTTTTCTTCGTGAAATTCTTTGACTTTTTCCATTTTTGGGGGGATTCAGAGAAGAGAATAAGGCCACAAAAAGAGCTTCATAGCTATATTTATTCCTAATCCTTCAAACACGAGTGGATAATCAATAATGTGTTTCTTTATTTAGTAAATATGCTGACAACTGCTCTGCACTAAGGCTCTCACACCAGCCCACATGCTCACACTCCAGCCTTCTCTGTAATATGAGGGAGAAGCTGCAGACGCTTTCACTGCTGCAGAGGGACTCAGCTAAGTGCAGCAGGGAGCAGACGTGGCAGCTTTTCAGCTCGCTGACCTTTCTTCTGCCATCACTCTCCTCCTCATCGTCGCGCCTCCTTCCTGTCACATATGGTTCTAAAAGAGAGCATGTCTGTTTACCTACAAACCCTCACACGTCCTCACACTCTGCACACACAAACTGCAAGTCGCTCACGGCTGACGTGTACAACAGGTGTCGGCCCTTTAAACTTCTAGTCTGGCAATTCAAATAAAAGCAGCTGAATATTTATAGAACAACATCAACCACAAAAAAATTAAATAACAGCAACTGTAGCTAATTTAAAAATGAGGCAAAGCTAAAGCTGCTCCATTGGCTTCAGTTATGCAGGTGGATACAGACACAGAATTAAGAGCACAGCTCATTGAAACGGTGGACATTAATTAAAAAAAACATGGAGCTCTTTCAGTCCTTATCTGCTAGCTGTTTGGCTAACTGGGAATGGGAAAGGCAGTGAGAATGTTGGCCGTTTAACAAAAGCTACAGAAAAACACTAAAACACAGGACACCACAGTGACCAACATGAAACGTTTTGGAGAAACAAAAATCAACTATTTTTAAAAAATTCATCTTGAAAGACAGAATGTAAGGATTTTGACAGTGAGAAGCTAAGAGCTTACTTGTGGTTTGTTTTCTGCAGTGTTTTTATCATTGCAGTGCCGCTGACTTTGTGCTGCAGTTTTCCTTGACTTTCAAACACACAAGGTTTTAATAGTTTTGGATTTTTCCTTATAGTTTAGTTTTATTTTGTTGTGACTTTTGTTTCTTTTAATTCAGTCTTAATTAGTTTTTACAGTGGATTTGCTAGTTTCTGTTATTTTTGCATTTTTAATACTTAGTTTTAGTTTAGTTTATATTAGTTTGCTAGTTAGTATTAGTTTTTTTAATAGTTTATTTGTCAATGCATCCTTCAGCTTGTGATGTTCCTGTGAGTTAACTAACCAACAGCTATTTGGTCTCTAGTTAAAGCAGTTCATTATAGCGACACCATCCTAAAATAATTGCGTAACTCAATTTTGCCAACTACAAACTTGGGCGATTATTTTAGGACGATGACAATAGTTGTTTTCAACCGGGTGCTACCTGCTGCTTGTTTTTCATGGGAGCTAAAATAAACAAAAACTGTAATAAAATGAAAAAAACTATAACTAACTAAAACTGTATAAACATTTTACAAAACTAACTAAAACTGAAATTATAGATAGAATATCCATGGTTTTAATGTTTGTCAATTTATTTTAAGCTGTGTGATCCTTTTTATCAGCTGTGGGCCGTAACAACACTTGTTTACAGTCTGCTGCTGCTCAGCATCGCCTGCTAAATGATGACATTTTGGGAGAAAGCAGCAATGTCCACTTTGGGATTTCTTTGAATGTGAGTGCGAGAAAAATCAAAGCAAATGTCTTGTAGTGGAAACAGGTGATAAAACAGGTGGAATACAAAGGAAAAAACTGCATAAATCAAACTCACACAAGATGGCTAACTATGAGTATCTTGACACACTAGCTTCTCTCAGTAGCTCCCATGAAAAACAAGCAGCAGGTAGCACCAGGTTGGAGACAACTATTGTTATCGTACTAAAATAATCGCCCAAGGTTTTAGTTGGCAAAATTGAGTTACGCAATTATTTTAGGAAGGTGTCGGTATAATGAACTGCTTTAACCAGAGACCAAATATCTGCTGGTTAGTTAACTCACAGGAACATCACAAGCTTCAGGATGCATTGGTAAATAAACTTAAAAAAATACTAATATTAGAACTAATAAAAACTAAACTAAACTAGGGCTGCAACGATTAATCGATTAATCAATGACTAATTTAATAATCGATTAATCGTTTTCTTTTTTTTGTTCTTTA